TGTGTGTGTGTGTGTGTGTGTGTGTGTGTGTGTGTGTGTGTGTGTATATTTTAAAAAAATACTGGTTATCATATGTATACAGTGCTGCAGAAACTGCACCTCACGCCCCTTTCTTCTCCCTCATCTGAGTTGGAGATGCATTTGTACATCTGTATGATGACAATAAAGGCACTCTATTCTATTCTATTCTATTCTAATCTATTCTATTGGCGATGAATACATTTGCACTAAAATATGAACAATAAACACGAATATTTAGAGGAAGTGATGGTTTTCGGTAACATGGCAGCCGTATGTTCAAGACTGTGACCAAAGGAAAGCCGTGTTTACAAAGAGGGCCGCGGAACCCGGCGACTCCGGTCAACAGGTTTCGCAGTCTGCTTGAACGCACCAAAACCTGCTTTCGTCATCACGCACAGTCACGTAACCCATTCGTCCAATCAGGTGAGAAGCTAAGAGAAGCTCAGGAAAGAAGCCGATGATATGGCAGCTTTGAGAGCGCCCAAGTAGAACTTCGTGTTATCACAACACTTTGAGAGGATATCAGGGCGCGTGCTCGACATGATTTACTTAATACTCGTTTCCGCGGTTTTCGGTGCAGTCGTTACTCTGATAGTACAGTTCCTGCTAATATACCGGAGAAGCCCTGAGCCCGTAGGCAGGACAGTGCAGTATGTCAAAGTAGTGCCCGGTAACGCGCTGAAGGATTACTTTAATAGCCATCATGCCGAAGCAGGCCAGCAGCAGGACAGCACGACATGTACCGCATCTAAGCAGCCAGAGGCCGCCTCTACGCGGCAGCAGGAGGCAGCCGTCACCGGCGGCGGCCCGAAACAACAGCCGCCACCGCCTTCCCAAAGCGAGCCCATCGATGCAGGAAAAGCCGAAACGTGCCATTTCCTAAACGCTATCTTTCTGTTCCTATTCCGGGAGCTCAGAGACACTCCCGTCGTCAGACACTGGCTCACCAAAAAGATTAAGGTGGAGTTTGAGGAGCTGCTGCAGACCAAGACAGCTGGTCGGCTCCTGGAGGGACTCAGCCTGAAAGATTTCTCTCTCGGGAATTCGCTGCCGGTTTTTAAAACCGCCAAACTCATGAAGCCGGTGCACCTGAACGAGGACGGGATGCCCGAAGAGCTCAACTTCGAGGTGGACATCGAGTACAATGGCGGCTTCCACCTCGCCATCGACGTCGAGCTGGTGTTCGGAAAGTCGGCTTACCTGTTCGTTAAGATGCGGCGCGTGGTGGGCAGGCTGAGGCTGCAGTTCACGCGCGTGCCCTTCTCCCACTGGTCCTTCTCCTTCCTCGAGGATCCACTGGTGGATTTTGAGGTGAAGTCCCAGTTTGAAGGGAGGCCACTGCCTCAGCTCACCTCCATCATAGTCAACCAGCTGAAACGGGTCATCAAGAAGAAACACACCTTACCCAACTACAAAATCAGGTACGGTCCAGAGCAGCGGAGTAGAGTGTGCTAAGCATGTGAGCCATGAGATGTTAAAGGACCAAACTAAGAAATCAAACACCTGGGGAGAGCCCCCACACCCCAAACTCCCACAACCAGACAACAACAAAGAGCTGTTAAATGACCAAAAACACAAAGGGCTACGCAAAGGTTATAGAGAGTGGTCACAAAACACACACATGAACCCACTGAGACACAATATTATGACTCGAAAGATATAAAGTAATCAGGGAAACTCACAGAATGACAGTGAACATGCAGGTGGGCAGACGTGCTGTGGGTTACTCTCTGCACACCCGGGCAACAAGTCCGTCCTTGGCTCAGTAGCTTAAAAATGAATGTTTGTGCTGTCAGACCTTTCAGACTCTTGAAGAGTTAACTTTGTGTAGTATTGTTTATTTGCTGAGCTCATGCTTTGAATGGTACTTTCTTTCCAGTTCTTCTTTTAAGCAGTGAGAAAGTTTCAGCTCTGTTCAAGAGAGGAACTGTTCCCCTTTTTCTTTCTTACGTGTAGCAAGTAAAGTTTTATTTGCACTGTTCAAGAACAAAGGTTACAAAGTGCTTCATGATCCAAAAGTAGATGGAAAATAAAGCTTAAAGCAAGCTTGCACAGGTGGGTCCTAAGCTTCTCTTTAAAGGTGTCAGTCAGGCTGCCACAGACCATTATTTTGATAGTCGACTAATCAGATCACCGTCCAGCTTCTTGCACCAGCAGCATCTGCTCGAACTATCATGAGCTTACAGCTTGAAGTGTTTAAGGTGCTCACTAAACATAAAGACAAGATGATAGTTGATTAAACTTTAATGAAATTTGCAGATTGTCTCGGTGCAGTTTAGTAAACTCAGTCTGTTCTTGTCAAATATAACAGCACACTGGAATAATTCTGTTTAATGTAAAACTGTAACTTTAATCTCAGCCAAACTGATTCTCTCAGGAACAAATCAAACCCTGAAAAAGTCAAACAATAACGTTTTTAAGCTATCTTACTCAGCGGTCCCCAACCCCCGGGCCTCGGACCGGTCCCTGAGTCGTTTGGTACCGGGCTGTGAGAGTTGAGGCTCAGGTGTGAAATGTCTGGTTTTCAGGGTTTTTATCGGTTTTCAGCGTTATTTTGTTATCGTTTTTATCGTTTACTCGGTTTTCCTGGGTCTTTTCACGTGTGTTATGAATAAATCTTCTTTTTCGGTACCGGTACTAGTTTTATTTTGTTGTGTTTATCCGCAACACCTTAAAGGCCGGTCCGTGAAAATATTGTCGGGCATAAACCGGTCCGTGGCGCAAAAAAGGTTGGAGACCGCTGTGCTAAGTGACTTATAAATCATGTTGAACCTGAGTAGCAAAAGACAGCGCTGGGTTTGAAAATGGTGTGACCTCAGAGACCCAATAGTTCTGACTTGCTCCCTCTCAAGAACAAAAGTAAACCTACAGCACACCTGAATATTTGACCTCAACCCTTGTACTTGGCGCGCGTGTCCGTGGCGCGCGTGTGTCCGTGGCGCGCGTGTGTCCGTGGCGTTCTGCTGTCTCCCCTCAGCTTCAGCGTGTAGTACAGAGGCAGGTTCCATAACATCAGACCTGCTGATGACAGCTTGTTGGATCACTGTAAAGGTGTCTCAGATGTCCCCTCTGGCTCGTCCTCCACACATGAATTTTCCACAGTTTGCATTAATGACAGGACGTTAAACTGAAAGTGTTTCCTGCAGAGTGCAGGCACATGTGTCCGTAGCGTCTCTGCAGGTGTTCACATTGCTGACAGCTGGTCAGCTGTGATTGGAGGCCTCACTGAAGTTGTTTTTTTGTGGTAGATTTTTTTGTGCTGCTTTCTAGAAAAACTCCGACTGTGTCACAGTAACAGAGTGAGGTGATCATCTCTTGAGCATATGGAGGTCCCTGCAGGCCAGCGTCTGTAGCTTTAGCATGGCTTCAGCGCCTGCACTGACACTCTGGCCTCACGGAGCTAACGCTGCTCTTCTGCTAACGTGCTTATCGCTCCAAATTTCATTAATATAGGACTCAACGTCGGTCATCTCGGGACACTTTGTGTTACGTTGCTATAGCAGCAGAAGTACTAATGCATGAACATCACGTGCACTGGTAACCAGAGTTTCTGACCCGGGAGTTTAGATCAGGGGTGGGGGGGGTCCAGGCTGGAGAGCCACTGTCCTGCAGCTTCCTGGGTCACCACACCTGAACCACATGATGGGTTCATTACCAGGGGACACGCTGAGGACGTCATTTAGCATTTTAAGGAGCTGTGTTGGATCATCATCGAGGCCGGGAGCCCTCATCCCGATTTAGACGGATCTGAATGTAGATGTTATCCTAGCCATCGTTACCATGGAAACATGAGACTTCCTGCCAGGTCTGAACTGGTTCCTTTTGAGCCCATATTTCAGTTTGAGAAGCAGATGTTCTGTATCATCACAGCAGCAGAGGAGCATTTTCTTCTTCTAGTTATAGTCGCTGACTGTAAACGTGCACACAGCCAGCTCTACGTGAAGCTCCGCCTTCGTGTGAGTGAAGCTCCTGCATCTGGAGCTGCTGTCCCTCTTGAATCGTTGCCACCTGCATCTGTTGCATGCACTGCTCCTGGGTGGAAGCCTCTGCATTGGTTTGACACGTTCACTCACATTTGGGAGCCAAATTCTTCGCTCGAAGTTTCTCCCACTACGTGAGTCACATTTCAGATCCTTCCCTCCCACTTGGAGCTTCTATAACTTCTGTTTTCAGTGTTAATAACAAATCATGTTGTTTGTAAGGATGGTTTAATCGTCCTCATAAATGTTGGTACCAAACTCCAGACGAAGGATGCTGTGACATCAAGTCATTTTCATTTTGACAGCAGACATTTCCAAAATCCTGACTGCCCCCAGGTTCCACTTTTAACCTGATTTTATTAGCTATAATTTGTCCTCACCTTCTGACACGAGCATTGTTAGGCCAAGGCTGTGAGTCTGTGCTTGGCCTCAGCTATGGGCAGCGAGGCAGTTAGCTGCTCGGCCTCCAGTGTCTTCCCCATGGAGGGTGCTGCTCCTGGCTTCGCTCATCTTGCAGCTGAGTCTGAGTGACTGCTGCCGTGGTGTTGGTTGGTTTCAGTGATGGTCACAGCAGGTATTGTGTGTAATGCTGCATTTACACCTTCAGAGGAGGCTTCTGACCGTGGTAATGAGCCACAGAGGGTTCCAGCTTAGCTGTCATCCTGTTAAACCTTAACATTAGCATGAGGACGGGGAAGCTACAAACAGATGAGCTTTATTAGCCTGAGAGAAACGACAGCTCTGCATTATCAAAAATCCTCATGGACACTTTGTCCTGATGAAACAGTGGAAGCTTTGTACAGGTGAGCTCGTGTTGGGTGCATGATAGAGTCAGGACGGGACGCACTCGGTCACGGAGGCTCTGCAGCACAGTTTAGTTTACAGTGACAGGAACAGAAGAAAGCGGAGCGACTGTGTCATTGAGAAAGAGAAGCTCGGGTCAGTGGTTCGTAATTTCACTGCGGCTTCTTATCAAGTCAGAGCAGACGTGGTCGGTAGCTGCTGCTGATGGGCGTGTCTGCAGTCCAGCTGTCAGACTGACAACATTAACCATGTCTGATGAAGGCGGGGCTTGATCCACTGAGCGATGTGCTGGAGCGTAGCGGTGACTCTCACAGCAGCATGATTTCCTCTTTGCTCTCTTGGACCTACTTGACTGCTGTGAGTCCTTACAGGTGTGTGGGTGCGTGTGCATGTGTGGGTGCGTGTGCATGTGTGTGCATGTGTGCACCAACTTTGCTTACAGCTGATCTTGAATCAAGAATAAGGTCCTATCCATGTGTGTATCCAGTGTATCTAATAACACTGTAAAGGTTGCACAGTAGTGTTTGAGTGCGTTGCAGCTACGCTGAGCTTGCAGTGATGCCCATGAGGCTTTTCTCCAGCTGCAGTCCCAGACAGTGAGCTGACCACGATGTCATTACAGCATCAGCCTGTGCGTACAGTCCCGGTGTGTCTTACACCGCGTTGCTTTCCACAAGCATGGTTCATGGATTCCTCGGCTAAATGGAAAACATAAACAACGACCCCTCATTTCTCTTTTTTTGGTAAATATGCCAGTACTCCTTTTTGTCTCTCTGTGTGTTCGTCAGCCGGACTTCAGTCATAGCAGAGATCTTACAATGTTAACATTCCTCAGTGTTGTTTGAAGGTTTGTGTTGGGTCTGTGTTTCCACGTCCCGCTGGTGTACACACTTATTCTCGTGAAGGAGAAACAAAGCAACAGCGGTCGATCGATTTACTTGCACAGGGAGGCGTCGTCGGTATCTCAGGAACGCACTTCGATCCTACCACAAAATGACCCCGACTGCAGCCTCGCGCGCTGCCTTTTATTGGAAAACCCCGTTACAATAAACAATCGTTTACATGAGTACCTGCCCTCGTAAAACCCCCTTTGGTTACAAAGACAAGGCACTGTGTGTGTGTGTGTGTGTGTGTGTGTGTGTGTGTGCGCACTAGGGCTGGGTTTTTATTATCGATTTATCGATTAAATCGATTCTGGCTTGGATAATGTAAAATCGATTCATTAAAATCCTGAATCGATTTTTTAATATAAATTTATTTTGCCCAGAATCTCTCGTGGTTGTTGAAATTTTGTGAGATTTCACCAAACAGCTAAAACAGTAAATGAGAGCAGGAACACGGATTCTGCACAAAGACGTGAACACACAGCGTGGATCAGAATCAGTGAGATGTGACTTTCTCACAGTCGGGGCTGAAAGCCGACAGCTCGCTGATTCTGATGTGTCGGCGGGTCGAGCTTTGTGTTCACGTCCTTTATGCGCTGATCATAAAGCTGTTAGTTTGATGTCTCTCCAAACAATATTGACCGAACCAGCAGCAAAAGAAGATCCAAACTGCGCTTCACATAAACATCGTCATGAATTCACTCTGACTTTTTAAAATTATGCAAAATGCAAAACGCTGTGTCTCTAATAAAA